TTTCTAGGCACGAGTCATCACTTCCTCTGATGCCCAACCAAAGGAACTAACTTGTTATATTCCCAGGGAAAAATGCCCTTCTGGACATACTCAAAGACAGTGCTCTATTATACTGAAGAGATTGGCTAAGTTTGACTATAGGCAATGTTTGCCTTATATCACACTTACTTACATTTACGTTACGTTAAAAACCTAAGCACCCACAAGATGGGACTTCACTGTCATTTAATTAATTTATTTTTTTTAAAGAAGAAAAGACTGAGAGTCTTGAGATATAAATTCTGGTCCCAGTGTGGCCCTGACCACTGAATTGTCCTTCCCTAGGCTTCGGTCATGATGGTCATAGAGTTGAACTGTGATTTCTGAGGTCTTGGATGCACAGAATATCAGGCTAGGGTGTCTTCGGAGACCGTTGGCTTCAACTTCCTGTATTTGAGGGAAGAGGAAGTGGAGTCCCCTCCAGAAATATTCACTTGCCCAAGGTTCATTAGTGGAGAATGACCCCAAGAAACCAGCCCTCCTGACTCCCCAGCCAGCGTCCGTGCTCTGCCCCTCGCCTGCAGCGTTAACCCCCTGTGACCCGTATGCCTCATCTGTGCACTGCAGGGACCCACACACTGCAGCCACGTTCCAAGGAAGCAGATGCTGTCCTGCAGATGTGCACTCGCCTTGAAGACCGAGAACTGCGGGAAATCAGGCTGGAGAGGAATTTTCATAAAACGAGAGCATCCGGACCGCAGCCTTGGGGTCCTGCTCTTCTTCAAGCTACTGAAATACAGAGTCGGCTGTTCCGTTATTGTCAACGTGATGGTCCGGGCTAGGAAGGGCCAGAAAGGGTCCCCGTGAGCTCGAGGGTGCTTTAAATCTACTCCTTGGCCTGCCAGGGGAACTCAGTCACAGAGTGAAAAAGCCTCCAAATAGGGGCTACTATTGCATCAAATGGAAATCAGTGATATTTGAAGTTGCTTGGGAAAGGACAGTGGTGGCGTGGTGTGTTTACAGGTTTTCTTTGAATGACATGTCACTAAGGCAACCCCAGCAGATGGTAGGCTCTTATTGGATCGCTTATGGGCCACGGAACTTGGAAAAGTGGATGTTGTAACATATTATTACCAGTTTCTGGCATTATCCTAACTAGGACAATGAGGGTTTGGTGGGGTCATCTGGACAGTTCTGGCAGAAGGAGTAGGATTAGAGTCCAGGAATTGAAGGGACTTAAGGGATCATCTCATGTCACCCCCTCATGGAACAGATGAGAAAACGGGATTCTGCAGAGGGATGATGACTTACCCGGGAATGACATGGCATGCGCCTGCTTTATTCCTACTCTCAATCACAGCCAGGAAAGGCACACATTCTGGGGGCAGAGGAGGGGGGGCAATTAGAAAAAGTGAATGGGTTTCAACTATATGTGGAAGGCTTCTGGGTTCGGGAGTTCAGAGGCCAGAGTACTCGTCTTGTGCCTGAATTCTGAGCTCCCGGCTCCTCTTCTGTCCGGTGGGCACTAAAGCAATACTCAAGCTGTAAATCCTCTAAGGTAGGACTTTCATGGTGACCGAGGAGGATGAGTGAGCTGAATGAGCTTCAGAGCCACCTTTGACCTGCTAGCCACTCTTCTGTTTTCTACATTGAGCCTACCAGAAGATTGTTTGAAGAAAACTGGGAGGAAATGTTTGAAAAGCAATACTAACCACAGCTATGTGGGATTAGATGAGTCTCCGGAGGGTCGCTACAACTTGACATTCTGTGAGTCCATGACTGCAGGAGAGGAACTCGGCCAGGTGCTTGTGGACAGGAGCACAGGGTCTGTCTCTACATGAGCACCCGTGGTCAGCCAACCAAGGGGCAGCGTCCTGAGTAGGGAGGCCTGCTCAGGCCCCATGGCCACTGGAACCTCTGCAGGGAGGCTGATGACGATGCTGGGATGGCATTCTGGAAGGGAGTCAGCACAAGCGGAGAGATACATCTTGCCCTTCTTGCCTAATACGTGAATCCCTTTTCCCAAAGGAATTGGGTGAAGGTGTCTGAAGCAGAGATGCAAGGACTGTAGGGCCCTTCAGGTAGCAGACTGCTTCTTTGCTGTGCCCAGGGGTCATAATCGTAATCTTATTTGGAGTGAGAGAGTGCTCTAAGATTTTCTTTATTCAGGTGTTAATGGAAGATCAGGGACTAGCCCAGGCATTTCCTGAATCCCAGGCAAGAATCCAGAACCATGCTATCCTTCCAGGGGACCTACCTCCATCTGCCTGGGCTTTCATGAAGGTGTCTCACTGCTCCTGATAGAAACCATCAATCAGTTTCCAAAATATTCTCCAGCCAGAAAAGCCAAATTTGGATAGAATGTTCACCAGGGTCCTTAATTCAGTGTCAGAAGAGGTCTTCATATTCTATCATCATTGCCCTTGAAAAGTACCTTTTTTTTTTCCATTACAAAATGCAGCTGATGTCAGCTCCTTAATCTGCCTTGCCAGGAGTTTCAGTTTATTAGGGACAAAGGAATGAGTTAAATCCTCTGTTGTGTGTTTATTATCTCTAGAAGGGAATCCTAACAAGGTCAAGCTTGGCAGCTGTCTGAAGAAGAGGAAAACTTGTGAGAAATGATTGCTTAGTGTATATGAATTGAGAGTCAATTCCTCAGGTGGAGGAAGGGGGTGGATAATGAAAGTAAGTTATTATTACAATTCAAGAAAAAAAAATTCTGTAATGTCCATAGTCTTAAAGCCTCAGCTACTAGTAAAAGCAAGTATTTTCACTGAAAAAAAAAAGTCTAGATGGGTGACATGTTTGAAAATAGAGAAGAAAGCAGTTAGGAAGTTCACATCTAGCCTTGTTTAAATCTTGGAACTTACTGTCGTATTAAGCCAATGTTTGGTCATTTCCCTTCTGGTTAAGTCCACTTTCTAATCCAAATATTTGAGAATGCCACAGTTTTATGACCAGCATTAGTTGGGGGGATGGGCTGGAGGAGTCAGCTAATCTAATGGTTCCTACCCATAAGGCATCTTCTCCTGGAGTCTGGCTCTGGCAGAAGCTAGATTGTATCCTGGAAGACATAACTAACACGTTTGTCAGAAATTTCACTTTATGATGATGAACATGTAGTCTTGAACACAAGTCTCCTTGCTGGATCCTTGTGACTCTGAAAAGTTGGCTCCATTTTTAATGAATTCATGGACACTATATGTCAGTCTAGATGGCCAGCCCACATCATCTCCCAGAGCAACCAGCCCACCCCCCCTTCCTCATTCTGTATCCATCAGTCTTTTTGTGTCCTTACTCTTTTCCATCTTTATGCAATGGCTACTTTGCTAGGCTCATCTCTCTTTGTAAGGGACCAGACCTTTTGTATCTTTAAATTCTCGCAGTCCTCAGCCCAGCACATTCACAGAAGGGCAGCATCCCACTGAACGGTGGTTCTCAGATTAAATTTTGTCCCTCTGGGGATATGGGCAACTTCTAGAGACATTTTTGGTTGTCACAACTGGTGGGAGAGTGATATTGGTATCTAGTGAGTAGAAGCCAGGGATGCTGCTAAAAATCCTGTAATTCTCAAAACAGCTTTCCTCAGCAAAGAATTATCTGGCTCAGAATATCAATAGTGCTGAAGCTAAGAAACTCTGTCAAAGAGCATCAATTTGGGAAAGTTTTTAGTCACAGGAACCTTGTTGTAAATGAGATATTTGATGCAGACCCAACATATAAAATAAGCAATACCCAACATTTAAAATGAGTTTAAGCAGGGTGGGGGTTCATAGTCCCACTTATCGGCCCCCTTTCTCCCCCCAGCAGTATCCTGCAGTATCCTGGGGCTCAGTGGAGAGCAACTTGAGAGCGGTTTGGTGTAGCCAAAAGAGCATGGGATTGAAAGTCAGAAGACATGGGTTTGGAAATTGACCCACTGCTTACTAGCTGTAGCTTCACCTTCTTGGGTGTGTTCCTTTGCCTGTGAAGCAGGACAGTGGTAGTACCTGTCTTATAGGATTGTTTTAAAGATGGAATGAGATTACAGGTATAAAACCACATTGTAAACTCACTACTTTGCTGTTGATCAAACATTCTGGTTAATACAAGGTTAACTCTTATTGAATTACTGACTGTGGAGAACAGAGACCACAATAACACTAAAAATATACAAAGTCTACTCTAGAGTGGTTTGATGAGAACTTTTCCAGAAAGCCAGAGAAAGCTTAGAAAGTAGGTTCTTAGGCCTCCACATCTTTTTGAGCCAGATACAGCCTTAGTCGCTTGATCTCTCAGAAGTACTCCAAACTTCCTCAGCCCCACTTTCAAAGAACAGCTTCCCATCCATGGCACTGTTTGTGGGTTCTCTCTAAAGTCCAGGGAACATTGCTTCGATGTTGTAATCATTTCCTGCTCCTCTTCTACATGATTTTTATATCCACGTCTGATGGTGACCCCCCAACCTTGTCCACACCCTTTGCAGAGAAAATCCAAACTCCTTAGCATCACATTCAAGACCCTTCAGAATCTCACCCTAATCCAACCTTCTGATTTCACCTGCTACTGTCTACTACTACATACCCAACCCTTCCCCAGTGCTTGATCATTACTTAGGGAAGTGGGCAATGCTTTCTAATGCCTCAGCTTTGCACATGATTATGGCTGTGCTTCAGTCTAGTTATGCTTACTCTGGGGTCTCTGCCCTTTTCTTTCTGCTTGTAAAAGTGACCTTGGAGCAGATGTTAGTGGAAACTTTAAGGACTTTGAGAACAGAAAGAAAAAAGGGAGGTTATGTTTGGCTGAGTTATACATTGCCAGCCTCAGTTTCTCTTGTGGTCCTTTCTAGGTTTATCACTCAGCCTGCACCTAGCATACCACCCCCAACCTTCATTCATCATGTTGTAAATTTGTGTGTCTTCCTCACTGGACTGCTACCTTGGGAGGGTAAGCACAGTATCTAATTCATCTAGGCTTCTCTAACTCCTAGCAGATTCTCCACTAGAGAACCTGGCTCAGTTAGGAAAAACCAAGGGTCTCACCTTCACATAGTCATATTCACAAAGGTAGGAGGATTCCAAGTTGAAGTGCATGAAGTAAAGCTTGATCCGAAATCCCTCTGGGACAGTGATATTCCAAGTCACCTCTGAATCACTCGGATAGGAGTCTGGATAGCCAGGTGACTGAATCTGGCCAAACATATTGTTAAGCTCCACGGTATGGGCCGAAGCTTTCAACAAGGAGAGGCACAGAGCATGACAGAGAAGGAGCCACCTGAAAGACATGAATGGACCTACTTACATTCATGGACACAGGGCCTCACCCCTTAACTAAGCAGCTGGGAGACCAAGCTCTTGACATATCTCTGCCATTGACCTGCTGTGCTTACTCTTCCCCCCCTGTGGCCTTGCTTATCCAGTCTATTCTACAGGGAGATGGTGACTCCATGATTTCTATGGTTTCTTCAAACTGTGCTCTTCTCAAGATTTAATAAATATTCAAGTCTCCTAGACAGTCCCCTATTTGGGACTCTGATACGTATTATTTTACTGTTGAGAATGTAAATTTCATAATTAGGTAAAAGTTGATGTCCTTTCAAGGACACCTGGGTGGCTCAGTCAGTTAAGCGTCTGTTTTCAGCTCGGGTCATGATCTCAGGGTCCTGGGATCGAGCCCCGCGTCGGGCTCTCTGCTCAGCGGGAGCCTGCTTCTCTCTCTTCCTGCTGCTCCCCCTGCCTGTACCCTCTCTCTCAAATAAATAAATAAAATCTTAAAAAAAAAGTTGATGTCCTTTATTCAACTTGGCTTCATTTAAGAATCAAACTCTTGGTTCAGTTTTGTAAAAAGTAAGTAATAGTGACATGGTAATACTGGGATGAGACTTACACTCAATGATGGGATCTTGCATTACCTTAAACAGATTTAACAAAATCAGTCAAGGTATGCAAAGTTTTGAATTAAGAAAGAATAAGCAAAACAAGTTTTTTCCCCCTCTTGGTAAGTATTCTTATAAAAGGATCAGAAAACTACAATTTATTTCCAGCTGTAGGCATCAGAGATAATGGACTGTTAAAAGAATTGCATAAGGAAGGGGCAAGGAAAACTCAATAAAACTTAATGGAACACACCCAAAGTGGTGCAATAATGAGTCAGAATGTCCAAGGCTATTCAGAACCCTAATGAACAATATGCACCACATTGGACATCTAATAGATTGCTCCCCCTGCAAGACCCAGTGACCTTGAACTCAAACACCCCAAACCTGGCTCATCAACTTCTTCCCTAAGTCCTATTTATTCCGCTTCCTATGTTTTGGAAATCCATCTACTTCTCTCCAGTCTATTAATTTTAACATTCTTATCTGGCCTATTGCTATTGCATCCTAAGTAATCTCCCTGTCCCCCACTTTATACCACTCAGCACTTTTCTGCCCAAGTTGATTTTCTAAAACACACATGTGACCAAGCTGTTTCACTGTGCCCGCAGAAGAAAGCATCTGCTCCCAGGATGGCAGATGAGCCTTTTTTGATCTAGCGCTGATCTGCCTGTCCAGCCTCATCTCAGTGCCAACTATGCCCTGCTGAAAGTATGCCATGCCGGTGCATGCCTTGGTCCCCTTGCACATGGCCTACCTATTCTTCATCTGCTTGCCTTATTTATCCTTCACCATCCAGCTCGAAGCTTCCTAGGCTATGGAGTATCCTGTATACCTCCAGATTCCACAGCTCCCTTGTACGTGCTTCCATTCTGCATGTCTCACACAGCACTGCTTTAAACAGAGCCCCTGAAGTTAGATGTATTTGGATTCAAATCCCCATTCTTCTACTTACTGACTGAGAAATCTTGGATAATATCCTCTCTGAGGCCCAGTTTCCTCGTATGTCAAATGGAGATTATAATTTCTAATTATAGGACTCACATAAGCATTAGAGATGATGTATATAAAGGACCTAGTATACAGCCTGGTGTTAATAGATGATGAATGAATAAAATGAATAGATGAATGAATGAATGAATGAATGAATGAACAAAAGTGGTGCCAGAGCCTTATATAGCCTAAGTCCATGCTGGGAAATTAGACCAGCATCCTCAGATTACAGTAGCTCGCCTTTATCCACTGTTTCCTTTCTGTGGTTTCAGTTACCCATGGTCAGCCTTGGTCCAGAAGCAAGATGATCCTCCTTCTGACATATTGTCCGAAGGTCAGTAATAGCCTAATGCTATGTCATAGTGCTTATGTGACTCCCCTCGCTTCATCTCATCACATAGGCATTTTATCATCTCAGTATCATCAGGAGAAGGGTGAGTGCAATACAATTAAGATATTTTGAAAGATAAAATCAACGCACAGAAATCAGTTGCATTCTTATACATTAACAATGAGACAGAAGAAAGAGAAATTAAGGAGTCAATCCCATTTACAATTGCACCCTAAAACCATAATATACCTAGGAATAAACCTAACCAAAGAGGCAAAGGATCTGTACTCAATAAACTATAGAACACTCATGAAAGAAATTGAGGAAGGCACAAAGAAATGGAAAAACATTCCATGCTCATGGATTGGAAGAAAAAATATTGTTAAAATGTCTATGCTACCTAGAGCAATCTCCACATTCAATGTAATCCCTATCAAAATACCATCCACTTTTTTCACAGAACTGTAAAAAATAATCCTAAAATTTGTATGGAACCAGAAAAGACCCCGAATAGCCAAAGGAATCTTGAAAAAGAAAACCAAAACTGGTGGCATCACATTTCTGGACCTCAAGCTCTATTACAAAGCTGTCATCATCAAGACAGTATGGTCCTGGCACAAAAACGGACACATAGATCAATGAAACAGAATAGAAAACCCAGAGATGGACCCTCAGCTCTATGGTCAACTCATCTTTGACAAAGCAGGAAAGAATATCCAAAGGAAAAAAGACAGTCTCTTCAACAAATGGTGTTGGAAAAATTGGACAGCCACCTGCAGAAGAATGAAACTGGGCCATTTCCTTACACCACACACAAAAATTGACTCAAAATGGATGAAAGACCTAAATGTGAGACAGGAATTCATCAAAATCCTAGAGGACAACGTAGGCAGAAACCTCTCTGACCTCGGCCACAGCAACTTCCTGCTAGACACATCCCCAAAAGCAAGGGAAACAAAGGCAAAAATGAACTATTGGGACTTCATCAAGATAAAAAGCTTTTGCACAGCAAAGGAAACAGTTGATAAAATCAAAAGACAGCCGACAGAATGGGAGAAGATAGTTGCAAATGACAGATCAGATACAGGGCTAATACCCAAAGTCTATAAAGAACTTATCAAGCTCAACACCCAAAGAACAAATAATCCAATCAAGAAATGGGCAGAAGGGCTGTCTGGGTGGCTCAGTCGGTTAACCAGCTGCCTTTGGCTCAGGTCATGATCCCAGGGTCCTGGGATCAAGTCCCGCATTGGGCTCCTTGCTCAGCAGGGAGCCTGCTTCTCCCTCTGCCTGCAGCTCCTCCTGCTTGTACTCTCGCTCACTCTCTCTCCCACCCTCTCTCTCTCTAGCAAATAAATAAATAAAATCTTAAAAAAAAAAAGAAATGGGCAGAAGACATGAACAGACATTTCTCCAAAGAAGACATCCAAATGGCCAACAGATACATGAAAAAGTACTCAACATCCATCAGCATCAGGGAAATACAAATCAAAACCACAATGAGATACCACCTCACACCAGACAGAATGGCTAAAAATTAACAAGTCAAGAAACGACAGATGTTGGCGAGGATGCAGAAAAAGGAGAACCCTCCTATACTCTTTGTGGGAATGCAAGCTGCAGTCAATCTGGAAAACAGTATGGAGTTTCCTCAGAAAGTTGAAAATAGAGCTACTCTATGACCCAGCAACTGCACTACTGGGTATTTACCCCAAAGATACATATGTAGTGATCTGAAGGGGCACCTGCACCCCAATGTTTATAGCAACAATGTCCACAATAGCCAAACTGTGGAAAGAGCCAAGATGTCCATCGACAGATGAATGGATAAAGAAGATGTGGTATATACATACAATGGGATATTATGTAGCCATCAAAAATGAAATCTTGCCATTTGCAATGACGTGGAGAGAACTAGAGGGTATTATGCTAAGTGAAATAAGTCAATCAGAGAAAGACAATTATCATGTGATCTCCCTGATATGTGGAATTTAAGAAACAAAACAGAGGATCATAGGGGAAGAGAGGAAAAAATAAAACAAGGCAAAACCAGAGAGGGAGACAAACCATAAGAGACTCTTAATCATAGGAAACAAACTGAGGGTTGCTGGAGGGGAGAGGGTGGAGGGATGGGTTAACTGGGTGATGGACATTAAGGAGGGCATGTGATGTAATGAGCACGGGGTATTATATTAGACTGATGAATCACAGGCCTGTACCTCTGAAACCAATAGCACATTATATGTTAATTAATCGTATTTAAATTTAAAAATGTTTTAAAAAAAGATATTCTGAGAGAGATTCCATTCACATAATTTTATTGCAGTATATTGTTATCGTTGTTCCATTTTATTATGAGTTACTATTGTTAATCTCTTACTGTGCCTAATTAATAAATTAAACTTGATCATAGGTATGTATGTATAGGAAATACATTGTGTCTATAGGGCTCCTTGCTATCTGTGGTTTCAGGAGTCCTCTGAGGGTCTTGGAACCTATCCTCCCTGGATAAGCAGGGACTACTGTAATGGTTACGCTTCGCTAATCAGAAAGTTGTTTCTCCCTAACTCTCCCTCCCCAGCACACAGATGCTTATATGTATAAATATGCATACACATGAATTTTTTAATATGTAACACTACAAGATAACTGTAAACATAAATTATCTAGCTGTCTCATATGGTATTTACATGAAAGGTAAATAGGTAAGTGCAAAAAGGCCTAGAAGGAAATCACCAGTGTATTAACAGTGGTTATTTCTCAAGTGGGAGTATGAATGTTTTAAGTTTAATTTTTGTGTATATGTGATGTTCATATCTGTCAAGAAGGACCTTGTACTGTTTTTTAATAAAAAGAAAATAATAAAGTCATTTAAATTTTTTTCCAATGTCCCTACAATAGTAACATGTGAGGTTTCAACTGAGGAAACAAAATGTTTTAATCCAATTGCCAGGGTCAATATTTTTTTAAAACCAATCTTGGAGGGAGGGCCTCCAAGGCAGAGAGAAGGGAAAGCATAGGTCCAAGCTCTCCAGTGAACTCTCAGGAAAGCAGAGTCTAGAAACCTGATCTTTCAGGGCCCAGAC